CCCCCTCCCCCCTCACCCTTTGCCCCCCCCCCCTGCCCCGGGGGTGCTGGCGGCACAAGGGGGGAGCAGCCTCCAGCCAACTTCCCTCGAGCCCTTGAATTTCGGCGCCCGGCACCGACCGCAGCGCTTCCTGCTTGCGACACCGTCCTTCGCCGCTCGCACAAAATTAAATGTGCAAACTTCTCCCCCGGCAGCGCGCGGGCGAAGCTGCGGGCACCTCCCTGCCCGCGCTTGCTCCAGCAGCGGCGTACGGGAGGGATCTCTGTCCCGTCTCCGCTCACGGGCTCTTGCAGAGACAGAGGAAGGACCCAGCGAAGTGTCACCCTGCCCACAGCCGAATGCCACCAAGCCCAGCGCCCGGGAGGAAGACGTTCAGGGCAGGCTGCGGGGGGAGCCGATCGCTGCCTTACAAATCTAAGGAAAGGAGAGGGGATCGGGCGAGACGCGGCCCCAAGGACACAGTGGAGGGTTGCACGGGGCTGGTGCATCATTGCCGGGGATGCACCGTGGGTTTGCACGAGGCCGACGTCGGTGCTCGGAGTGCACCGGGGCTCAGCTCCAGTGTTGGTTGCTCCTCCAAGCTCGGCATTGCCGGTGGCTGTGAAGCCCAAAGCTGCTGCAAAGCCTGAAGGCATCAGCAATCTCCGAGTGGGCTGATGCTGGGGATGGAGAAGAGCAGGCAGGCTCTCCAAAATCAGGGCTATCCAGAGAATAAGGAGCTGGGGATCCTCGGAGAGGACGGGAGATGCAGCCACAGGCAAGCGGCTGGCTCCGTCCTTAGCTTTGGGCAGCGCTGGGAGGTCAGGGCTGGGCTCTGCACCCGCTGCTCCAGGGCAGAGCTGCCCGGCAGCGCTCCCACGGACGAGGGCCACCACCTCGCACAGGGCAGCGGTGACGCTGGGCAGGGAAACCCAGCTTTCCTCCTGCCCTGCCCTGCCAGAAACAGGCAGTAAAATCCTCCTGCCTGCACAGAGCTGCTCCCAGGGGTCCCGCTGCCCGGCTGCCCAGGGGAGGGTGGCGTGGGGAGGCGGAGGTTGGGCAGCCCGGCCGAGCACCGGTGCTGCCTGCGCTTCCCCCGCGCAGCCCGGCCGGGGATGCCGAGCCCCAGGAGAGCCAGAGGGAGGTTCCCAGTGCTGCCTTCTGCTCTATGTATTAGAAAAGATTTGGCCGAGGGGCAGGAGCTGCGGGGCACCCGGGGATGGGGGCTGCCGCAGGAGCGCGTCTCCCCTGAACCCCGGGGCCTGCTTTGGGCAGCC